TTTTAAAAAGCAAGATGCAAGAATATGCTGCATACAAGAAACACATTTAAATCAAAAAGAAATTCATAGACTGAAAGTCAAAGGATAGAAAACAATACTTCATGTGACAGGAACCCAGAAAAAAAGCAGAGGTAGCTAATGTATTTGCAGATAAAGTGGATTTCAAGCCAAGACTAAGAGAGACAAAGGTCACTACATCCTTGTTAAGGGAACAATGCAAGAGGAAGAGAGAACAATCGTAAATATATATACACCAAATGCCAGCACACCCAACTATATAAAACAAATATTAACAGACATGAAAAATCAAATAAGCACTAATACAGCTGTAATGGGGGACATCAATACCCCACTGCTGCAAAAAGACAGATTAACTAGGCAAAAAAAATCAACAATGAAATATCAGAACTGAACCGAGGTTCTGAAATGAAACTTTTTTTTTTTTGGTACTGGGGATCGAACTCAGGACCTTGCACTTACGAGGCAGGCGCCAGAACCACTGAGCTAAATCCCTGGCCCCATGTACTGAAGTTTTGAACAAACAGACTCAGTAGCTGTCTACAGTGTCCCACCCCACAACAGCAGAACACACATTCTTCTCAGCTGCACATGGGACAGTATCCAAAATAGACCACAACTAGCTCATAAAATGCTTAAGTAAATCCAAAGTAAGACTTCTATATTGAAAACTACAGTACCCTGAAAAAGGAGATCAAAGAGGATATCAGACAATGGAAAGGCATCCCTTATTCTTGGGTAGGAAGAACCAATATACTGAAAACGGCCATACTTCCAAAATTGTTGTACAGATTTAATCCAATTCCAATCAAAATTCAACAGCACATCTCAAAGAATTAGAGAAAACAATCCTAAATTTCATTTGGAACCAGAGGAGACCTAGAACAGCAAAGGAAATTCTGGGCAAAAAAAGGCAAGGCAGGGGCACCACAATCCCTGACTTGAAATTATACTACAAATACGCTGTGATAAAAACAGCATGGTACTGGCAAAGAAACAGACCCAGAAGATGCAGAAACAACTCCAGACACACTCAGCCACCGTATCTTTGACAAAGGGACAGAACACCTTCACTGTAAGAAAGACTCTTTAGGAGGCCAGGGATTTAGCTCAGTGGTTCCACTGCCTGCCTCACAAGCACAAGGACCCAAGTTCGATCCTCAGTACCAAAAAAAGAAAGAAAAGAAAGCCTCTTTAGTAAATGGTGCTGGAAGAACTGGCTTTCCACATGTTGAAGATTAAAACCAGACCTGTATCTTCAACTATCCACTAAACTAAAATCAAAATGGATCAAAGATCTAAATATTACAACAGAAACAAGCTACTGGAAGATAGAACAGGTAGAACTCTTGAGGACAATGGTGTAAGCAAAGACTTTACAAACAAAACCCTGATCACACAGGAACTATCAAATAATCAACAACTGGAAACTCATCTTATTAAGAAGCTTTTGCACAGCAAAAGAAACCACCAATGGAGTAAAGAGACAACCCACAGTGTGGGAAAAATTTTCGCCAGCTGTTCCTCAAAGATTTACTCTCTAGAATATATAAAGAACTCAAAAAAAATCAGACACCGCCCCCCTCAAATTTAAAGACCCAATCCAAAAGTGGGCATTTGAAATGAATAGATACTTCTCAAAGAGGTAAGAACAGCAAATAAATATATGAAAAAATGTTCGATATCACTGGTCATTCAAGAGATGCAAATTAAAACAATACTGAGATTCCATCTCATTTCAGAAAGTATAGCTGCTATGAAGAAATCAACCAATAAGGGCCAGGGATTTAGCTCAGTGGTTCTGCCACCTGCCTTGCAAGTGCAAGGTCCCGAGTTCGATCCCCAGTACCCAAAAAAAAAGAGAAATCAACCAATAACAAATGCTGGAAAATGTGGGGGAAAAGGAATCCTTCTTCACTGGTGGTGGGAGTGCAGACGGGTATGACCACTGTGGAAATCAGTGTTGAGATTCCTCAAAAAACTAAAACTAGAGGTTCCATTCAACCCAGCTATTCCTCTTCTTGGTATCTTCCCAAAAGATTTAAAAGCATCATACCACACCAATATATGCATACACTTGTTTAAAGCAGCATAATTTGTAATAGCTAAATCTTAGAAACACCCCAAATGCCCATCAAGTGACAAATGGATAAAGAAGATGTGGGGTTTTTTTTTTGATACCAGGGATTGAACGCGGGACCTTGCACTTGCGAAGAAGCCGCCGGAACCACTGAGCTAAATCCCTGGCTAAATGTGGATTTTTAATACAAAGAAGTACTACTCTGGCATAAAGGAGGGTGAGCTTGAGACATTTTATAGCTAAATGGATGCACCTGGAGACCATACTACGAAGTGAAATAAATCAGACACACATTTAAATACTGCACTGTTTCTCTGGTGTGAGAAATCAAAAGTGGAAATAAGGTCTAAAATGTGTAACAGATATTGGGAAATGGTAAGTGTTCAAATGGGAGGGGGAGGGGCAAGGAAGGTACAAGAAAAAAATCGAAAATAGAGGAAAAAAATGGAACAAAGCTTTTGTATACAGGATGTGAAGAGGGGTCAAGGGAGGAAATGGGAAAACAGAGGTGGGAGGTACCATGTACAGGCAAGTCTCTATGGTGAGTGTTACCCTTACGTGTATCTAAAATGCACCAAGAAATGTTCTGCTTCAAACAACAAAAATAGCCAGTTAGTTTATTAAATCCTGCAAATACCAATAAAAACAACAACAGAAAAAAAAAACATGGAAGACTTCCTAACTGCTCTACAAAGCAGTCAGGACAATGGGTAAGTGTCAAATAAGGGAAGTACTCTGGGGATTAATGGCAATGTGTGTTTTCCCATAACAAATTTTTTTGGTTAAATACTCACCATATATCTTGGTCACCCCTTTTAAGGACACCCTATGCTCACACAATGACAAAATCATCTAGTGACAATTTTTTAGAGCTTCTATTCATCATTAACCAGCATATGACTTATTCAAAACACTAAAATAATGAAAAGCTTTTAGCCAATATACTTTAAAATTTAGACAAAATGGATAAATTGTCAAAAACTGTAACTTACCAAAACCAATCACGATAAAAAAATACAAATTTTAAATTTTAGGCTGGGGATTTAGCTCAGTGATTCCAGCACCTGCCTCACAAGCACAAGGTCCCAAATTCAACCCCCAGTACCAAAAAAAAATATTTTTAGGCATAGAGACCCACACCTATAATCCCAGCTACTCAGAAGGCTGAGGCAAGATGATCACAAATTCGAGGCCAGCATGGGCAACTTAACTTAGAGACCCTGTCTCAAAATTTAAAGAGGGCTAGAGATGCAATGCAGTGATAGAGCATTTGCCCAGCAATCGAGAGGCTCTGGGTTCAATCCGCCCTACCAAAAAAAAAAAAAAATCCATAATTATGACCTTCAAAAACCCTAAACAAAGATTTAGCAGTGAATTCTATCAAACATGTAAGGATGACATGATGTGCATCTTACGCAAATATTTCCAGAAAACGAGAGAATACTTCCCAACTTGGTGAGAACAGCGTGACATTAATGTCAGAATTTGATAAGACTATAATAAGGAAAATCACAGCCTAATCTCTTTAATTTCAGGATCAGATGTCAAAATTCTAAACAAAGCGTTAGCCAACTGAATCCCACAATAATTGAATTTATTTTGGGGGGTTAAAGCGGATTTAACTTTCCAAAAATGAATGAGTGTAATTCCTGACAAAGTAAAATAAAAACTTGTATGATCTTAACAGAGGCAGTAAACTGTATAAGTTCCTCATCAATTACTTAAATTTTCAAAGTACTTCATACTTTACTAAATTCATGTCTACATATTTTTTTTGGTACCAGGGATATCAAACTCAGGACCTTGAGCTTGCGAGGCAGGCGATAGAACCACCGAGCTAAATCCCCGGTGAGATAGTTTTTGTTTTGGTTTTGGTTTTGGTTTGGTTTGGTTTTTTGGACATATTTTTGAAAGTACTAAGCTGTAGGAAAATATGAATTTCTCTAAAAAAAGATAACTAAAAGTAGGAATGAAGATACCAATGGGACACCTATTCCTCACCCAAAATGCTTGGGAACAGAAGCATTTTAGATTTTAGAGATTTTCAGATTTCAAAATATTTGCATAAAACTGGTAAAGCTGGGCCAGAGATTTAGCTCAGTGGTTTCACCAGCTGCTGTGCAAGCGGCAAGGACCCAAGTTTGATCTCTGGTACCAAAAAAAAAAACAAAAACTGGTAAAGCTGAGCTTCCCTAATCCAAACCTCCAAAATCTGAAATGCTCCAATAATCAAAATGAGTGCTGAAAAACTTGGATTTGGGAGCATTTCATATGTGGGGTTTTCAGATTAGGAAGCCTCAAGTATTCAGTAAAGAACATCAAAATGTAGAAAAAGAAATCAGCGTTTCTCAGATAAGGCAGTTCAATGAGTCTGCTAGTTCCACGTCTGCCAAATCAGCATTTCTTTACATTCAAGTAACATAACTCCTGGAGTGTAAAATCAGCATTTACTAGAAACATGAACCCTCTAGAAATACACAAAAGAAAAACCAGAATGCAGCTTATTTTTCAAAAGTTATAAATTTAGCTTCCATTTAAAAAACTACAGCAGGCAAGGTGGCACACGCCTACAATCCCAGCTATGAGAGGCAGGAGGGTCTTGAGGACAAGGTCAGCCTGGAAACAGTGGGACTGGTCTCAAAAAAAAGGGAAAAAAAAGATTTAATTTGGAAGCATGCGATCACTGGGCATAAAATAGCTAATGTTTGTCTGGAAAAGTAATAAAATAGCCAATGTTTGTCTGGAAAGTAGAAAAATCATTTTCATACAAAAAATTAGTAACTTATATCCACTATTCTAAAAATTAGTAAACACTATTTGATAATATAAACTACTAGAGATTTTAAAATAATTCTCACTCCAGTTTTCAACAGAAATTTTTTTCAAAACTCTATGTACTTACCCCCATTATCTGTTCTTTTTAAAGCTCCATCCTTATGGGGACACAGTTCACATCTCTTTAAAAAAAAAAATAAAAAAGAAAGTGAGATTTTCTCAGATTATTAAAACATAACATTTTACCTGCATCTTCAAAGCTGAAAATATGGGCACAGTATTTGTACTAGTTGCCTCCATTAACAGTTCAAAACATTCCTCAGGGCCAGGGATTTAGCTCAGTGGTGCTGCCACCTGCCTTGCAAGTGCAAGGTCCCGAGTTCAATCCCAGGTACCAAAAAAGAATAAAACATTCCTCACAAAATGACTGCTCTCAATGCCATGTCATCTTCCCAACAGCACCAGGTTAACAGCTTCTTTTAAGATACAGTGGGTACCTTGGCTCACGAACTTAACTCTTTCCACGATTCTGGTCACAACAGAATTGGACAAGAACCAAACCAAACTCAATGGTTAGGTTTAGTGTTGCCCTTATGGGGAAATTTGATTTGGTTCTCGTCCAATCTGGTTTGCAACTGAAATCATGGCGAGAATGAATATCGTGAGCTGAGATACACATTTTAGCCAGAGACACACCTGTAATCCCAACAGGGTGGAAGGCCAGGGAAGACGACTGCAAATTCAAACCCAAGTGGGGCAATTTAGTGACTTAGTGAGATCCTGTCTCAAAATAAAGAAGGACTGAGAATGTAGTTCAGTGCAGGGCCCTGAGTTCAATCCCTAGTAACCAAAAAAATAAATGAATAAAATACATTTTAACTTTTAAAATCCTGCAATTTTTAAGATTTCACTTAGAAAAAAAAAAAACAGGCACTGTAGTGTGCACTTATCGTTCTCAAAAAGTGAGAATATAAACTGAGTCCATGAGTGGCCAGGGATTTAGCTCAGTGGTTCTGCCACCTGCTTCTCAAGTGCAAGGACCCAAGTTCAAGCTTTGGTACCAAAAAAAAAAAAACTGAGCCCATGAGCTTGAGCAACCTAGCAAGACTCCCATTCAAAAGCACAAACAAAAAGATACTATCAATGTAGGACCACGGTAAGATTTTTAACATTTACCTACATCTCTTTGCTATCTAAGACCAGCCAGAATACTGGAGTCAAGTAGGTCTGGTTTATCCTACAATAAAGAGCCAAACTCCCCTCGATCCCCGGTCCCAAAAAAACAAACAAACAAACAACAAAAGTTGTCTACCTGCTACGCAAGAGCCAAACTCCCTTCAATCTCCAGCACCAAAAAAAAGTCAACCTCAAAAAGTTAGAAGTTTTGGGCCGAGGATTTAGCTAAGTGGTTCCGGCGCCTGCCTCGCAAGCACAAGGTCCCGAGTTCAATCCTCAGTACCAAAAAAAAAAAAAAAAAAGTTAGAATTTTGGTTTCTGTGACAAGGCATGACCCTACATGTACCAATCTCCTTTCTGAAGGAAGGAATTGATCTAATGATTCAAGTTACCCTTACACACAGTGATACTCAAAATTAATGTGTGGACAGCTCCTTACACACACACACACACACACACACACACACACACACACACAAAACTTAAAACCAAAACTTATCTTAGAGCTAGTATTACCATTTCTTTTTACTACTGTCAAGAGAACATACTTAGGGCTGGGGATTTTGGTCAGTGGCACCGCACCTGCCTTGCAAGCACAAGGTCATGAGTTTGATCCCCAGTACCAAAAAGAGAGAGAGAGACAGAGAGAGAGAGAACACATATAAGTATAAAAATGAAAGAGTAAGTTTCACCGGCATTGTTTTGCTATGAAGAATGTGTTCCCAAAGGTCTCACTTGAGTACTTATTTATACCTTGTATTATTCCCAAAAGGTTTGCAGCACACAATACAGTAAAATAAACGAATTTCAAAGGAAAACTATGAGTGAGAAATTAAGATGAACCAGTAAATTAAATCACAAGATCCTGGATTTCTTGTCTTCTAGCATGTCACTCTTCATTTTCCTCTTACCTGTTTGGCAGCACTTTTCTGATGACTTATTCTAAACTTCTGTTGGTTTTGTTGTTGTTTTGTTTTGTTTGCTTTTCTGAGACAGGGTCTCACAGACCTTGAACTCATAGCCCAGGATGGCCACCAACTCAGTGGTCCTCCTGGGCTCAACCTGGGATTACAGGTGTACACACACCACACCTGGCATATAAACTTTCAAATGTTGCACAATTATGCAAGGCTGAGGCCTAAAATACCTTATGTCAATGGTGGCAAACCTATGGCACACATGCCATAGTGCCTGTTTTTATCACTGAAAGCTCTACAGACCGTTAAACTTTACTGATCATTAATATGAATCTAAAATGTTGGGCCAGGGATTAGCTCAATGGTTCCACCACCTGCCTTGCAAGCAACAAGGTCCAGAGTTTGATCTAGGGTACCAAAAAAAAAAAAAAAAAAAAGTTTGGAAAAGTTTCAATGTAATAATTAAAGCCAGCTGTGGTGGCACTGTCCTGTTATTTCAGTACTTGGGAGGCTGAGGCAGAACAATTACAAATTTGAGGCCAGCTTGGGCTACATACAAATTCAAGGACACCCTGAGTGACAGAGCAAGACTTTAATCTCAAAAAAAAGTCACAGAGCCAGGAATTTAGCTCAATGGTGCTGCTGCCTGCCTTGAAAGTGCAAGGTCCTGAGTTCGATCCCCAGTACCTAAAAAAACTAGTAGAATAGACAATTCAAAAAAAGATTTTCTTAACTTTTTAAAATTTTTCTATTAGTACATGTTTGCAGTGCGTACTGATTATATTCATTATGGGAAGTTGGTACATGTACATAACACATCTTAAGGCATAAACAATCCTGAATCCCTCACCCACTTCTCTCCTCGCTCCCATCTCCTTGCATTCCCTCTACCACCTCACTCAGTCCAGTGCACACACAGAGTCCCAGGATTCAGGACCTTGCACTTGCGAGGCAGGCACAGCGTCACTGAGCATTTCCCAGGCCCAGGCCTTTTAACTGTTTGAGACAAGATCTCACTAAGCTGTGTACACTAGCCTCAAACTTGTGATCCTTCTGGGCCAGCCTTCTGTGTAGCTGAAATTACAGACATGCACCACCACCTTTATCTACAAGACTTCTTATAAAGGTACAAGTAGTTACAACAGCATGATAATGACATAGGCTAACAGACAGATCAATAAAACAGAATCAAGATTCCTGAGATTCGCCACCTGCTGCGCAAGTGCAAGGACCTGAGTTCGATCCCCGGTTGAAAAAAAAAAAAATTCCTGAGAGCACCCACCTCTGTGGCCATGAGTCCCACCAAAACCATCACCTAAGGAAAGGTGACCCTTTACAATATGGCACAAAACAACTGGATGGCAATATGCAAACATTGAAGCCTACAGAAAATGATGAGCTGAATCAGACCTAAATATAAATTAGCACAAACAAAAACTTTCAGAATAAAGGAAATTACCTTCAAGACTTCAGGGGTAGGCAAAAGTACCTTAGCTCACAGCAAGCAATAACTATAGGGGCTGGGGATTTAGCTCAGTGGTTTCGACACCTACTGCGCAAGTGCAAGGACCGCAGTTAGATCCCTGGTACCAAAAAAACAAACAACAAACAAAACAAAAACCAAAGTAAGCAATAACTATGAAAAAAAAACACTGATAAACTAGACTTCATCAGATTAGAATATTTCTGCTCATCAAAAGGCACACTTAATAAATAGGTAAATGACAGATTTGGGGAAAGTATTTACAGAACATTTATATTATGAAGGACCAGTATCTAAAACATACTTCTTCTGGAACTGAAAACAGCAAAGAATGAAGCTAAAGGTGTGAAGAACAACCTTCATAAGAGAACTCGTGAATGGTCCACACACGAATCAATACATGCTTGGCTTCACTAGGCCTCAGGAAAGAAGATGCCCCCACCTCTGGGCCAGATGAAAGAAAGTGAGCAGATTTAGCTTTGGTGAGTGAAATAATAAAAAAATGAACAAAGTGACAGCACTGAGAATATTGGACAAGTCACATAACACACGACCCCTGGGAGCCCAGAGACAAATGACATGCGCCACCCACAGGCCCAGCTTACTGCCTCAAGAGTCTCCAGGCGCAGGACAGGGAGGAGGAGCCCAGGCCTGTGGTCTCCTAAGCAGAGGAAATGCAGCAGAGTCCAAGGAAACCAAGGTGCTAGCACTCATAAGAGAGACATGCACTGAACAGCGCTGGGGAGAGAAACGCTCACCCGGGCCTTGCAGGGGTACCAAGTCAGCACTGCATGGAGGGACGACTCAAGGCCAGCAAAGAGACCACCACGAGAATGGGAGGCAACAGCATCCAGAGTTTACACAGGAGGTGCACAGACCCTGCTCCTACACCCCGCAGCTCACACCCTGCAGGAGCACTAAGGAAGGAAAAGCTTCATGACAGGGAGACTTAACCCTAAACACAGAGTGACTCCATCCAAAGAAAACACAAAAGCAAGAACCAAAGGAACAAACTTTCCCAGCAACTCAGCAATGCCACAAAAACTCTAGATATTTTTAGACATACAAAAAAAAGAGAGAGAAAAAAAAAGAAAGAAAGAAAAATAAACAAATAAATAAATAAAAAATAATTTTAAAAAAGAGAGAAAGCTGGGTGTGGTGGCACACACCTATAATCCTAGCACTTGGGAGCCTCAAGCAGGAGGATGCTCCAAATTCAATGCCAGCCTTGGCTACATAGTGAGTTCAAGGTCAGCCTGAACTGCATAGCAAGACACTGTCTGAAAAAACAAAAAACAAGAAAGGCATTGGAACATAGACCAAAAAAATAAAAGAATTTCAACTTCAGTCTTGTATCTTATATAAAAATTAATTCTAGGGCCAGGGATTTAATTCAGTGGTTCTGCCCCTGCCTCGCAAGCACAAGGTCCCAAGTTCGATCCCTGGTACCAAAAAAAAAAAAAAATTAACTCTAAATGGACCACAAATTCAAAAGTAAAGCAAAAACTATAAACAAATATTGGAGAAAAATCTTCAGGATCTAGCATTAGATAAAAAGCTGTTAGGTCGCAAGAGTAACACCCTGAGTTCGATCCCCAGTACCAAA